GTAACAAAACGTTGTTCTCTGGATTTTACAATATGAATGTGGGTGGTGCTTATTATAGTAACTGCCACTTTATGTAGAGGTTGTATTTAGTACTGACCAATAGTGGTTTTCTATAAGTGTCAGAAAACTTGCTTCTGGAAAAAACTGCATGGGATGTACATGACTCTTATTATTTTTATATAGTAGCTTAAGTCATGCTGCATCGTATATCTGTTTATATTAATCATTATATTGAGAAATTAACTAAAAATAGATGTATTTTGTAGGAAAGAAGTTGATCCACGATTATTAGGGTTAAGAGCTATCGAGTGGCTAGTGCAAGGTTTTTACATGAATTAGACTTAGGACTTTGAACTGAAAGAGTTTGTGATTTTTTATATTCTTTTGAATTTAAATTTGTAGTTTTAAGTTCAATAATTTAGCGTAATTTCATATTTAGTTTATATTAATAATAATATGATTCAGTATTTAGAATGATAAACTTATGTGATTTGTACGTAATATTACTAGTACCAGTACCACATAAGAATTTTATATTTTTCCTTCTTACAATCTTTGCTTTGTTGTAAGACCCACACTTCTGTTGTTATTGCGTTAGAATTAAAAGTTTAACTTATATATTTATATATATATGTATATAGTTTATTCTGATATTTTGCAAATGGTTCAAACTCAGTGTACATGTGACAACAATAAAACCAATATGTTGGTTGTGAAACAGGCTAAATACATTCATCTCAATAATACAGGGAAGCTATGACATTCTCACAGTTGGGGTCTCAATACACTGAAGAGCTAAAGTTTCAAATTCCAACATAAATCTTGCCTATAATGAGTGGAATGTGACTAGGACTAATCTTTTAAGTGCTTTAAAGTAATTTTCTTTGTAATTTATGGAGTCTGTATCATTTGGTAATCTCTTCTAACAGGATGTATCAAGTAACAAGGGGTCAGGCTCAGGCGGTGTTTACTGAAACCACCTGTACTATAAACTGTTACATACATTTGCTAGTAGTGGCAATTAGTTTTGTCTCTATAGTGAAACAACATACACGAACATATGTTGAAATAAACTTGTTTGAAAGCTCAAAGAAATGACATTCCAGTACCCAAAAGCTTTCTTACTGTCATATCTACAGTAATGTTCAAATGCGCCCGTGCTGGGCTGAACGAGAATGATCACCTACAGGGGTGAAATAGTTTACGGAAAATGTACAAAGTTCACGCTGTTGACCCCACGGTTTATTCAGCACAATAAACAAAAACACGGCTGCAATAAAACATAAACATAAACTTGAAATAAAAATATATTTATGAAAGAAAATTAAAATGTTTTTACGTACATATATAAACATGAAATCTTAGTTAAAAACAAAAATACTCATTTATTGTTTAAGTTTATTTACAAACATTATTTTTGGGTCTTATATATTACTTGAAACCATAAGGAGAGTATGTGATTATTAAAAAATTAAAAAATAGATAAAATTTGCATTTTATGGATGATACACATTTTTTGGGATTTCAAAATAATGTACTAAAACATAAAAAGTAATCAGTTCAAATCTGGAACAAATATAAATATCGTAATCATTTCTTATAAATACCATTTCGTAATGTAATTTTCCAAGATATTAAAGATCATAATGCAAAAAAACTAAATTTATCAAAAGTAACAGGCTTTATGTTTCTTAAACTATGTGCATTTATGAAAGTTCTTAAGAAGTTTCAAAATTTTTTAACCAATAGTTTTATTGTTGGAATGGAATATAGCAAGACTTGCATTGGCTACTAAGAAAGTTAGTAGCCGGTAGTCATCGGGTTAAAAATTAAAGTAAGCTTTATAGTTGAAGACAAGTAGTAGCTCCTTCAATAATATAGATTATCTTGGCTTTACATAAAAATTTGGTACCCTATAAAAATGTGTCAACACCTTTTGTAAAAGTATCTTTGTCATGAAATTTAGTTACTTGGTGTTGATTTAGCACAGAACTGGGAAATTAATAATTATTGATGTCTTGCTAAAATATCATCGATAGTTTAAACAAAGGTACAACTTTTGAAAAATTATTTTTTTTGGTAGATTTACAAATGCTAATAAACAGTTGTAAGCTATTTGTTTAACCCTATGTGTATAGTGGGGGATCAAAGTATGCATATCACCTTCTTTATACAGAATTGTGTTGAAAATGTAATTAAACAACTTTCAGGGCACAAAATTCCACTGGACAGGGGGTCAGGCAGAAAAATTTCCAGACCCCCAATTTATTGGACCACACTTTTTCTATGATAATTCATGTTTTAATTTGTAAGAAGCATATTGTGTGATTTAAATGTATCATTTAACAAACTAATCACTTATTTATCATACAAAACTATTCATGTTCTATAAAATAGTAAACTCAAAGGATTATCAATTAATTATCCAAAGTTAACAGTCATTATAATGAAAATTATTTGACATTGGCTTCCTTAGTTTTAGCTCGCTCAGTTTCACCTATTTGTTTTCAACTTTGTGAGAAGCATATAACAGTGTGACTTATAAACTATTCGTAGAATTAACAAAGAAATAAATGAACTCAAGTAATTATCAAAAGGTAACAGTCATCATAATTACAATTATTTGAGACTGGCTACCTCACGTTGAGCTTCTGTCGTATCATCACCTACCACACATTTTTCTGCTGTTGTATCATCAGTCTCACTCTCTGTATCATCTAAGTCACACTCCTCTTCTAGAGCAATTAGTGCTTAATCTTCAAAGTGACATACATGTGCATTCTGTTTTTTCTTTCGTGATCCATATGGAGCTCTTTAAGTCCATTTTGATCAGGTGCCAGCTGATCTCCATAGGTGGAAATCTGGTTCAGGATTATACTCTTTTACACTTGTATGTAACTTTATCCTCATATAGTCTGATACAGTCTCTGGTTGAAGCCCATTTTACAAATCTGTT